TCTTAAAAATAATTGCAAACTATTATGTACTCGATGATATGAATGATTTAAATAACCATATGACATGACATGACGAACGTATTATTTTACCAAAACCATTACGTAGTCAAATAAGAATACACATTCGAAATAATAACAATTGGTTTTTGACAACTTTTCTTTTTTCCGTAACTTTTGCTTCAATTTATATATATTTCATTTAGCCTCTTTTTTCCCTCAACAATTTTAAATCAATTAATTCCGATTATTCCCTCGTAAATAATATTTCGATTTATGCGAATTTTATTTTATTCGTATTCCTGCCTGTTTTTTTTTTTCGTTTGGCTCGTTCTTCTGCTGGAATTATTCATCGTCGTAATTGAGGAAAGATGTTCCTCTTCCTGTTCATTAGATTTTTGTTTTTACGGTCTTGTAGAGTGCTTCTTCATTTATTCGTAGTTCTGCCTTTTTTTCGTTTTTTCTTTAGCTGCTTATTATATTTATTTAATAAATTTTAGTGCTATTTGATGCAAATGATAATTTTTTCTCGTGAATTGCAAGATGCAATTAAAAATATTTCTAATAGTATTATAATTCTATTACAATATACTGAAATTTATATCTAAGAAATTTCCACGAGTCATTATCTGGGATGAGGTATGTACAGTATCTAAGCATATTCTCAAAATGTTTATGCTGAAGATGATGCCCAACCCAGATTTTTTACTGCTCGCTGGCGCCATGTTCATCCAAACACTATTTCTCTACATCGTGACCAGATACAATTCTGAAAACACGGAAAAACGATTCAATGCAAATTTCACTACAATCAAACTGCGCATAAAAGAAGCGCATATACGGAACAGTCGGTCAAAAACTTATCTTAATTTTCGCAGGCCCTTTAGGGACGAGTCTACGACTCATATATCCGAAATTCTTCCCGACGATGGGGAGAGCTACAGAATGGCATTTTATCGAAAACGAAACATTCTATATAGTCTATGTGTGCGGGGTAGTTATAGACTGGTCATATAGCCAGTCTCTTTGGTGGGAAAAATAAATTATTTAACCGTAATAGTGTATCGGTAGAGTGTAAACAGAATTTTTTTCGAAGATCCCAAAGCGTAGGAAGTATCATCGCCTTCGGGCAGGCTTAGGATCCGACATTTTCCTCCCTTGCAAGGTTTTCATATTTTTGCTTTGTAATCGAAAATAAAAACCGTAGTCAATTTGAAAATAAATCAATCTTTCGCCATGTTTTAATCGTTGTCCGACTACTTTGAGTATCGCAGATGTAGCAAACGGCTTGATCATTGCTCTCAAAATATCTCCGAGTCAGCAAAGGATTTAAAAATTACCGTATTTTTCGGCAATTAGTACCCCGGGTCTCTTACATTCTAGGGGCTCAAAATTTAATTAGTACCCACCGGGTACTTTGTGAAGAGGAGGGTATATTATATGGTGAATACTTAACATGGAAGCCGTAATTTTGGCCTGGATTACACTAGTTTTGGCTTGAATAAT